ATTACAAAACTAAATTTTAATGAGTTAAGTGTAAATGAATTAGAAACATGCATCTCAGATTTCTTATTAAAATATACATGAGGTTACAGGTTATGAAGAAAAATGCTTGGCAAAGTACATCTCAGCAGTTGCCAATCTTAAAACATTTGAGACATTTTATCAGTTGTCCCAATAGCAGATGGAAGTTGCTGCTTTCTCCCATCCTTTGCTTGAATCACTGAGTTCTTTTAAGTTTACAGTGCCTTTCCTAGATTAACTTCTTGAGCATATTGCTCCTTTGTTATTCCCAGGCACATACAGAACAAAGTACAAAGTTACTATTTCCCCAGAGGATATATAATTCAGCTATTTGATATTTTATCAGAGAGGAACTGCAAACTCAGGCATACTCACATGGAACACCTTCATTCCATGCAAACTTATATATGTACTGAGTACTGATGGGTACATATGATTACCTGTGAATACCAGGGATTACATACGAGTAACCAGGAGTCTGCTATACTTTTGCCTGATTTCTATATATATGCTTTAAAACTTTTTTTTTTCAGGATTTATGTTTAAAAGACATGGTGATGCTTAACTTTTTCAAAGAGAGGTAGAAAGTGGACAAACGGAAATAGTTGATACAAAGAAATTCCTTAGTTTGTTTTAATGCTTGTGTCAGAGAATACTTGCTTGCACAGAAATAACTATTTGTGCTACCTTGAAGTCCAGAGTATTTTATAAAGGACACTACAACCAAAATTGTCATGAGAAATAATTGCCTTTTTATTTCGTTTTCTGCCATATTAATTCATCATCTTACTATCATTAATTGCTTTCTGATAGTCCATAGCATACATGGCCCACTGATCTTAAGATAAAGAGATAATCAAAGCAAATCATTGAAAACAAAATCCATATTAGGTACTTAAATGCCATGTCTCTACAATGCAAACATTGTACAACTGTACTCATTTGGGTCCAAATTATTTTCGTATTTCTCTAATAAACTCTTATCAAGCAAATAAGGAAATATATTGGCACTGATGATCTGGCTGCATTATTAAATCATTATGATGCCCGACAAGATCTGATCCCTTTAGTTCCTGCTCTAAACCTTCTGCTCCACTTCTTAGATAACTTATGTGAAGCACTGTGATAAGATGTTACAGGCCCTAATGGTGCATCATCTTATTTGATCCCTGAAATTGTGCTATGAAAATGGTTGATCAGACATTTATAATCCACGTCTTTTGAATGAGGAGCTAAGTGACTGTGTAATCTTGGAAATGTTCCTTAAATTATCTGAGTATCAATGTCTTTATTATGATCCTTGCCACAGCACATAAGGCTGTTTGGGGAATAAAATAAGAAAATGCATATAAATATTTTAGCAGAGTTCCTGACACATATTAACTGTTCAATGAATATCAAATGTTATTTATGTTATTGCTTAAGATCTCTTGGTTATTAATTGGTGAAGTCAGCATCGAAATCTGGGTCTTCTAATTTCTGGTCTGGTGCTCTCCAGGCTCCCCATTGCCCACAATAAAATTTCTAAAAATATAATAAAAACCTCTATGTTCTCACTCCTGTTTATTTTGCTAGCCCTGTATTCTCCAACCCCTTACCCACTGGCATTCCAGCCAAGCCACTCTGCTGGCAGACACTCTCTCCTGCTCTCCCAGAGTACATACTGTCTTTAGAATCTCTTTCTGTCCAATAAGTCACACCCATCCTTCAAGACCCAGCTCAGGTGGTAAATGAGTGAACCTTATGGACCCACAAACAGGACCTTCTGTCTCTGTTTCTAAGATTTTTTTCATCTATGTTTAATGGCTATCATCTCATTTTTTAACAGTCTGTTGTCACTCTCCTACACAAAACTGTGTACTCCTTGAAGTCAGGAATTTAGTTTTACTCAACTCTGACCCTTATATCTATCCAATGGTTAATATTTGTTGAATTGATTCTAGATTCATTTTTCTCCTATTTATCATGCTGCCACATATGCTCAGGATAACTTTGGCAAACCATAGTTGTAGAATGAGGGCTCTAAATAATATTTGATTACACATTTAACCTGGCGGATCTGGTTCCCCTGGTTAAATATGTTTTTTTTTTTTTTCCCACAAACATTGTTCAGCTTTCCACCAAGACTGCCTACTTCTCTGCCTTCATTTTCTACCAGTCTCCCCTGTGTTCCCTTTGTACCAGCTACACCGATGTTCTTTTAGTCCCTAAACCAAAGCTCTCTTTCTCCCTCATAAGATCCACATGAGCTGCTCTGCTCAGAAGTCTTTCCTCGTCTTCATGTGGCTGCCTCCTTCTCATCCTTAAGCTCTCAGTAAATATCAACTTCTTCCATTAACATGAAAAGTCAAGTAGGTCTCCTGTTTTTCTCCTTCATAGCTCCCTGATTCTTTTCTTTTCTCTTTTTTTTCATTTCTTTTCTTTTTGGTCATGATTTGTAGATATTTTATTTATTTGCTACTTTTCTGTCTGTTTCTCACATTAGAAGTTCCATAAGGGCAGGGACCACATCTGACTTGTTGAGTATTCTGTGACAACAGTTCACAATAATTATATATTGAATGAATAAGTAAAGAAGAAATGAATACAATAAGCATGAATGTTATATATTTGGGTGTCTATCAAATGTAGCTTTTTAGCAAGCTAGACTACTTCAGACCATAGAGGCTTTACAAGGAGAAACTAAGTCAATCCATCAATAAGCCTGTAGTTACTCACCAGGCATTTTTTTTTTTTTAATCCTCCTCCTTTTTTTTCCCCAAAGCCCCAGTAGATAGTTGTATGTCATAGTTGCACATCCTTCTAGTTGCTGTATGTGGGACGTGGTCTCAGCATGGCTGGAGAAGCGGTGCGTGCCCCGGATCTGAACCTGGGCCGCCAGTAGCGGAGCACGCGCACTTAACCACTAAGCCACGGGGCCGGCCCTCACCAGGCATTTGTTAAGCAAACTCTGTTAGGTGCAGCACTAAGTATGCAAGGTAGGCTTGTATATAGACCATGCCTTTCCATTGGTCTCAGGATAATGAACAAAAGACTATGTGATTTGGTCTTCAGACCCTCTCAACTTCAGGCTACTGTTTTTCTTGTTAACTCTGACCCAGCCATACTGGTGTTCTTTCACTGTCCCCAAAATTCCATTCTCCTTACCACAAACATTACCCCACTTCACTCGTTAGAAACAATACACACGATCAACTTCTCTGATTCTCTCATGTGCCCGACTTATCTGACTCTCTCATGTGCCCCTACTGTTTCCTATCTCTTTCCTAAGCTCATCATAAGTTTCCCAATGAATGTACCCTTCAGCCTGTGCCCTTTATTGCCAGGCTGCTGTTGCAACAGACCTCCCACACTCTTGCAGAACTCTTGTGACTTTCTATAAACCAAACAAAACCACACACTTTTACCCTGAATACCCTAATATAACTTCGAGGATCATTCTGTGATTTGTAGTTCTCAACAACAGGGTAACTGCGTTTGCTTCAGAGACCATGGTGGATAATTGAAAGACTATGAAAGGCTCATTAATGTGATGGAAGAGTGCCTCAAGAAGGTCATAAAAAAGGAGACAGTTAAAACACTGAAGCAGTCAAGTTGGGTTTCATTTTGTCCTTTGAGAGTCTTCTGGGTAAATAAATTTCCTAATATTACAATGCCTTTAGTAATATAAATAGCATATTTTTACTGGTTATACTTACCAAAAAAAATTTTTAAAGAATTAATATTAAGAAAAAAAGGTGGAATTTTACAGTTCCTCTTCCCTTGCCAAACAAGAACCTCCTTGTCCCTCGTTTTGACTGTATTAGCATTTCTGTTGTTTGCGTACAGTTGGTAAAACAGCATTGAATACAGTGTCTTTCCAAATTGATCAAGACATACCTTGCTGTTCCCAGTATGAATTGGTGATTAATATAGCTTGCTATTCCTCTAGTATGACTTTATAAACACAACCCAGCTGTATTCATGTTCAAAAATTGAAAAGTGAGAACTAGCTTTTCTTCGTTTAACTTTTCCTAAAGTTTCTGCAAGATGATGCTCATGTTACAGTTAAACATCAGCTGTACAGCTTTTTCCTTAACTATTAGTCCCTTAGGTATAACTCTGTAATCAAAGGGAGGTCAGTTGTATCCAAATACAAATATGCCAGAATGTCTCTGGCATAAATCTTTCCCTAAAGATTTCAGTAGTGTTACTTCAGAAGAGGGAGAAAAAGTGCTATGTTTTATCTAAAAATCTAAGAACTTAATTCATTAAAAAAAAAAAAAGCACTAAGTTATCCTTACAGAGAGCATAGGATCTCCATGTTACTCATCAAGCTGTTTGTTTTTCTTTTTGAACAATCACAGAAAAAATACTGCAATATACGAACTATATGGCTACTATTGATGAACACTTCCCATATTGCTATAAACTACAGAGAGGGCCTAGTAATATAAATTCATAGTCATTGCCCAGTATCCAAATAATTTCAGAAGCAGCTGAGGGCTAGTTCTTGGCAAAATTATGAAGTAAATAGAGAACATCCCTTTCTCTCTATTTAGATGTCAGTTGTCTAATCTTCTGAATTTCATCACTAGTAATTAATTATTCTATTCCCAACAACAAGCTTAAGGCAGATGCCTCTTAAGGGTATCTGCATTTCACTTGCCCTACGTATAAATCCAGGCTGACTTAGATTGTCTCTTGAAGCCCAGAGGCTTCCCATTATTACAGTGTGAAATGAGTCCCAATGGAGTGACACTGAAAGCTGATTTTCATGAGACCATTCATCGCTTTGATTGTTCATACACTGCCTAAATCGATGACATTTAAAACAATTCCAATACAGAGAAGATATTTATTAAATGCCTCCTATTTGCAAATAATCATAACAAATATGAATAAATTCCCCTTCAGTTAATGCCATTAACTTCCAAATGTTCAATTTGTTTATAATTGTTTCTTCCCCTTCTTCTCTCTTTCGTTATTAATTAATCTTTCAGGCTGGTGGTTTGATGCTTGTGGCCCATCCAATCTGAATGGAATGTTTTATACAGCGGGACAAAACCATGGAAAACTGAATGGCATAAAGTGGCATTACTTCAAAGGGCCCAGTTACTCCTTACGTTCCACAACCATGATGATTCGACCTTTAGACTTTTGAAGGCACAATGTCAGAAGCAATTATAAAAGCAACAAAGAAATCTGGAGAAGCTACCAGATGAGAAACTGCTTGAAAACTTCTGAAGCAAACAATATTGTTTCCCTTCCAGCAACAAGTGGCAGTTATGTGAAGTCATCAAGGTTCTTGACTGTGGATTGGGAGCCTTTTGCGTTCACAAAAGTCTCTACTTGGGGTTACCATGTTCATATATCTTAACTATAGAGAAAGCCACTCACTGTCATGCTGTAAAAAGGGAAGAAATTGCTCAGCTCGCTGTGCTTCAAACTACTACTGGATCTTATTTTGGAACTATGGTAGCCAGATGATAAATATGGTTTGTTTCATGTAAAACAGAAGAAAAAGAAGAAAATGAACAATAACAACAAAAAAGAATATACATAAAGAATAGCAACAGACCTGCCATAATCCTTTGGAAAGGGTGTATTACACCAGTGAAATGGTGTTACTTCTATGCAAACCTGCTAACAGTAAGTTTATACTGTTGCACAATTTTAATAAAAGTTCAGGAAGAACAGCATTGCCCTCTGAATTGGTTAAATGTTAATGGATTTCGGAAGCCTAATTCCTAAATCATACTTACTAGTTGATTTCAGTTAACTCATCTTCAAATGTAAATTTCATTTTGGAAACCATAAAGAATTTTAGTGCATGAAGAACAACGTGTGAGGTAGAAACATGCTCCATTACTCTTTGATTTTTTGATACAGTTTTCAGAAAAAAATGGACATAATCAAGTATGGACATACGAGGTGAAAAATTATCCCCCATGCTACAGTTTTCATTTACTTTAAAAACTGACTGACTGAGATATAAATATATTTATAGCCTGAGTAAAGTTTAAAGAATGTGAAATATATCATCAAGCTCTTAAAATAATATACATGCATTTAATATTTTCTGTGATATTATACATGAAAGCAGTGTTTTAGAGTGTATTAAGTTGAAGTAAAACCAAGTAAACTGGAACAGTTTATCTTACAGTATCTTCTTGTATGTGTACACTTAAGTGTAACTTCATTATTTTAAAAATAATGATTTTCAATTCTTCACTTTATTTCATGCTAATTTAATTTTTGCTAATTAACTGAAACATGCTTTCCAGATTCACCCTGTTCCAGTTTCTGTAAAAGATACACTTTGAAGTCTATGAAAAATAAAAAAAGAATTATAAATACCATTGTACATAGTATGTTTATATCCGTGGTAAACCTAATAGCTGTTTAATCTGGAATATTCAATGTTGTCCTTAATTGATGCAAATAAACACAAGTTTTCAAAGAAATCTACTATACCACTTATTTCTTTATATTTTTCTCCTTCAGCCTCTGTTTTTCTTAGGCAGTTTCTGATTTTTAAAAATTATTATTCATGGAGAAAATTGGCAAAACTCTGTATTATACATAAGGGAAACACACAAAAAAAGAAAATTAATCAGTCATCTGACTAAGAAAATTCTATTAGGTGCTATAAATCTCTTAATGAAAATATTCCTATGGGATAATCTATTTTAAGTGAATTTGGGGGCACAGATTTTTATGGCAATTTGAAGTTACTACAATATTTTATCAAGAAGTACTTTCTGCCTCTAAGTGTTCAAGGTTACAATAGTGAACAGTTTTTATCAAAATATGAGTTACTATGAGATAAGAAAATTGAAAGGCATATTGGCTCTCCTTTCTTAAAAAAATAGGTTTTTTTTCAAGGCAACAATACCAGTTTCAGACCTGGTGACTTGATCTATTATGCCTTTGTGGCTTTCCTCCATTTGAGAGAAAAATCTATTTACATTTTTAAGAAAGTATTTTCTAAAGTTTACCATCAAGTCTTTATATTTATGCATCTGTGTGTAACCCCATTTTGCCTTATAAGTGATATTTACAGGTATTCTACAGTTTTTCTATCCTTGGCGACTCCTTCATAGCACTGTTTAGCCTCGCCCTCTAAAAACCTTGCTTGTTTTCATTTAAGTGAATGGAAGTGAGTGTTTTGCTCTTTTGTGTTCCTACAGATTATTTTTTACCAGTATTTTGATAAATAATACTATTTCCCAATGCATATTACAAAAATAAAATGAAATAATGAAAAAAAAGAAAGCATGATATTTACTGTTTTGTTATCTGGGTTTGAAAAATGAAGTTGTTTCCAATTATTTATAATAAAACAATATAAAATGTTTTATGACTCCATTATGTGCATTGTGTGATGCCTACATGTTTGTGGCCACTTAACATGTATATCCATTGCATTTAATTATTTCAGGATAAGATAAATATTAGGATTTTGTCTTTAAATTTTTATTTCAGTAAAATTCATGTGGCTTTTATGCAAATTTCTTCACATCCATCACAGCTTTATTTGATAGTAATAAAATTGAAAATAATGTATTTGTGAAACTTCATATCATTTTAAATAAATGTTTTACAAATTTAAAATTAGAGATCGGTGGAAGTATGAAATCACTGGAAAAAAAAACTGCTAAGTGAACTAAAGCCTCAGTCTTTGAATAATGTTCAGTCTGGGATGTGAGAAGAAAGCTAGGCTCTCTCTATTAGAATGGTAGATCAAAGCAATAGGTCTGAGTCTTACATCTCTACTGTATGATGGTTATGACTTGCCAATTATTAAATGCTGTATTAGCATACAACAGTTGACAATAAATTCTGGGAACTCTGAATGTGGAATAATAGGATATGTGTTGAATAGCTGAATTATAAAAGAGAAAGAGCATAGAGGAGAGGCTCCTCACCCCTCACGGCTCCTATCAGCTGTCTTATCCGTTCAGTGCTTAGAAGGAAGATTCTTACCTTTCCCCTTGATTCTGCTCCCATTGCCTCCACATTGATTAAAATTTTCATTAACTTCCACCTACACCATTGGAAAAGATACTCTTTCTCCGGCTACTCTCTGCTCCTCTTCACCCCATAACCACACAAGCTGACTCTTAAAGCCAGACTTCTGTACATGTTTCTTCCCTGCTCAAAATCCTTCAGTGTTTCCTCACTACTGCCTGAATTTGAAATAAACATGTTAGGTTAACCCCAGCCTGCGTTGCCAGATAGCTCCATTCCATCTACTCAGTATTCCAATCAAAATGAAGAAGGCTCTGTGATAGACTAATTGCAAAAATGACCCCTATCTTTCCCCTTTCTCTGTGCATGCCCTTACAATGTGACTTTGCAGCTCATCCCATGTAGAGGTGGAGTCTTTCCCCATCCCCTGAATGGCTGGCTTGAGGCTTGCTCCAGCCAATAGAATGCAGAAGTGCCTGTGTGCCACTTCTGAGCCTAGGTCTCAAGAGCCATTTGGCTCCACCCTACCTCTGCCGTGAGAAAAAGCACAGGGTAGCCTAATGCAGGATTAAAGACCTCAGGAAGCAAGACTGAGTTTACCAAATGAGATCACCTTAGTCTAGCCAGCCCCCAGCTGACCCAGCAGACAACCCCAGATACGTGAATGATCTCGGCTGAGCTCAACTGAGCCTGGCTCAGATCAGCAGAACTGCCCAGCTAACATGCATAATCATGAGAAACAAGAAGGAGTCGTCGTTTTAAGCCACTATATTTTGGGGTGTTTTGTTAAAGATCATTATTGTAGCTAAGTGATACAGCCCTTTCCCCCACCCCTACATGAGATTCTTATGCATCCTAAGTTTTCAGAAACATTCCCTAAAATGATGTTCTCTTCCTTCCGATGGGCAAAGTTCTAACAATCCTCCATGGTGCATCAAAATATTAGCTGCTTCATAACACTTTTTCTGATGCCCTCTGTTAATTGACTCTCTCCACTAACATACTCTTACAGCTCTTAACACATTTTGCTTGAGCTTTGTCTTATATTCGCCACTGTTTTGTAGGAGGCTGTCTCTTACTCATTTTTTAATTCTCCACAGTACCTAGTGGGCCCTTGTTAGCATTGAATGGAATTGAGTTGCTCTGAAAGATTAAGAAATCCCTTCTATCTATATAAAATGCAATACTCATAGATCTGACCAGTATCTTAAACCATTTATTTTCAGACTTTAAACTTAGCTCATTCTCCTCCAGAAAAAAATATATCAAAATTTATAATTTTAGTCATCTCAGAAATCCACTTCGTTACCACCTTTGCTGGAACATATATATTGTGTAGATTGAGGGAGGTCTACATGCTTCTTTTAATTTTAAAATTACATAAATATGTGAATGTACTCTTGAATAGTAATTACTCATTTTTATTACACATTTATTATTATTATTATTTTAATGTAAGATAATAATTTTGAATTTAGATATATGTATTTGGGCATCTTATTTTCAGCCTTAGGATTTGAGGTTCAACTGCAGCCTCTTTTTTAGTTGATTTGGCTCTTTCAATAAAAGTTAGCCTCTTCTAACTCAAGGTCAATATTTTCCCCCATATTCCTCTGATCATTGCTTTATTGATTCCTTACAATAAATATATCAGCCTTTCAAGTTATTATAGAGAACATAAAAGGATTCTTAGGAAAAACTGACATTAAACAAGTCACTATGTCTCTTGCGTTCTTTCAAGAAAGAAAGCAGTAGACTCATCCCAAATGACAGATAACTGTTAAGGTTTAATAACTCCCAGGGCTTTGCCTTTTAACCTAGGAAAACCAGTCTCAACTTCTGACATATAACTCTCATCAAAATGTGAAAGGATGTTTTGTTTTGGTGGAGAAGAGAATGACTCCTGATATCATCCTTTACAAGCAAGCTCCTACGTCATCCCCTCATAAGACCTGTCTGCATCCTGCCCATCCGTCTACTCTGTCTTGGCCTTTGGGGAGTCCATGTGCATGCTGTGATGGTGGGAGCCAGGAAAGTACCACTATCGGCTGGTTCTGCCACAGAACTGGGACTACCTTACCTAAGTTCCTCTTACATAAATTAAATTTAAAAAAATATATACATCTGCTCCCTGGATATGCTGTAAGGAACTGTCACCTCACTAGTGCCCCAAGGAACTCAAGGGTGGTTTGGAAGCATTTAACTGTTTTTATGTTAAGGAAACATAACCAGCAACCACCCTGCAGCTAACCAAGACTCCCTACAAGAGCTAGGCCCATGACCTTGCCTTAATTTTAACACGAAGATCTCTTCAGGGGGAGATTAAGCCTCATTACCATAATCTGCAGTGTATGCACAACCATGTTCTCCAACTGAGCCTGTGCAAGCGAATACCCGCCTTTCCCTTTTGAATATTCATTCCCCATCCAAAATAAAAGTTCCTGCTTCCCTTTGTTCGGGACGCCATGACTTTGGAAATGATTCCTCATGGCCTCCTATTTGCTGCAAATATGCTTTACTTTGTGAGACAACTTCCACTGGTGTAGAGTCTTATTTAACTCACCAGGAGTTGAGCCCACTTGGTTCAGTATGAGAACCAGAATCAACTAAAAAAAGAAAAAGGTACTAAAACATTGGAAGTCAAAAATGGATTTAAAAGAAAATATAAGCAGGAAATATTAATTTGTGTGCACTTTAATACAACGTCTAAACATCAAAACTGATGTAAAATATTAGGGAAGAAAATCATAAGGCTCTAAGTTAACTTGAATATTCCCACTAGGAGAAGAGTACAAACATAATAGTCATAATGAGATGCTGGCTTATAGTTACACAGCTCTCCCTTTGGGAAATTATTTTATAGGTTTAATGACAGAAAGCAAATTATTTTTAACAAGCATAGTGAGCAACTACCAGCATCCAGATGACGCATTAGGAAGGTACTAGGGATACAGACAATTAAGGCATAATGAAATTCACAATTAGTGAGAAAAATAAGTAGACATTAAAGAGTAGTACAAAAATTTTTAAATTAAAATTAATGTATGTATGTTTAAGCTGCGATGAAAATACTGAGATGAGTGATTAAGTCTGCTGAAGGTTGTATTGTCTGTAGTTGTATATAATAATAATGTGTGTAAAGAAAAGAATGAGTACTGCTCAATAGTAAATTTTATATGTACATGTTTTTGCAATTTAGAGAAATATGTAGGCCTCCCTCACTTTACACAATACATTTTATAGAAGATGGCATCTGAGCTTTATTTTGAAAGTTTATTGGGAGTTTGCAGAGAGACCGAGGAGGAACTGCAAAGGCATAAAGATGTCAGAGAGCATGGAGTTATGGGGAACTCCGAGTTCAGTTTGAATGGACTGTAAACTTTATTTGAGGGAGGGGCACCAGGAGATGAGAATAGAGATAGGGCCAGATAATGAAGGATTTGACCTCATGTTCCTAAGCTTAGGCTTTACTTTCTTGTTAAAGGGAGACAATAAAGAGTTTTGCACACTTTAGAAAGGCTATACTTGCTGCAATTAGTAGATGCATCAGAAGGGGGTAAGACTGGAGAAGTTTGGATCAGTGAGGACACTATTCCACAAGTGTGTTAGGATGAGGACCTGATCTATACAGCAGTACAGTAAGAATGGACTGGAGAAGTTGGATTTTGAGAGATATTAAGGAAAAAGAGTCCAAAGAATTTAATGATTGGGATGGAAGGTGGGAAAGGGGTCAAGGTCATTCCAGATTTTTTTCTTGGTTAATTAGATAGAAGGTGGTGCAAATGTCCAAAATAGGGAACACAGGTTTTGGGGAATGGCTAATGAGTTAGATTTTACATGTTTATTTTGAGATGCTAGTAATTCAAATTTGGCAATTGGATATATGAGTCTGAGCTCAAGCAGACCTAAGGTGGAAGATTTTGAACTTTATAGCATCTAGAAATTAAAATTACTAGATGAGATTATTTCAAGAGAGTATATACTGAAACAGATCTCAGTGGAAAACTTGATGGAACATAAAAAATTTTAAAGAGCAGGTAAACAAAGAGAATTAAAAAGGAGATGAGAAATTCTGGCTAGACAGACAAAAGGAAAACCAGGAGGGAATGGAGTCATAGAAGTCGGGTGAGTAGATTGCATCAAGATTCAGGGATGCCTGGGCCAGCCCAGTGGTGCAGTCGTTAAAGTTTGGCGTGCTCCACTTCGATGGCCCGAGTTCATGGGTTTGGATCCCAGGTGCAGACATACAACACTCATCAGCCATGCTGTGGCAGTGACCCACCTACAAAATAGAGGAAGATTGGCACTGATAGCTCAGGGCTAATCTTCCTCAAGCAAAAAAAAAAAAAAAAGAGGAGGATTGGCAACAGATGCTAGCTCAAGGCCAGTCTTCCTTAGGGAAAAAAAAAAAAGAAAGAAAAAAGAATCAGGGATGCCTAACTCACCAAATAGAGCGAGGGCATTATGATTGCAAAATATGCTTTAGATTTGGCATTCAAGGGACAATTGGTGGTTTTTATGAGGTCAGCATTAAAGCTGTAGGGGTAGAAGCCAGATAACAAGAGTGATATGGATAAATGAGACATCAGGAC